GAGAGAGAGAGGAAGAAAGAAAGAAGGAAGAAAGAAAAAGAGAGGAAGAAAGAGAGAGAGAGAAAGAAAAGAAAAGAGAAAGAAAACTGCGTGGCTGCATGACTTGGAAGGCAGGGCCCTTCCGGCTGGCCTTGGCTCCCCTGCCTGTGTCCGGACCTTCTTCCTCCACCCCTCCTCAGGGTGCTTGGCACTGGGCCATGAGGAAGGAACCCCGCGGGGGTGCTGGCCTCGGATTGCACCCTCAGGAAGCCTTCCCTTGGTGAACTGGTTGCCGCACGTCTGGGGAGCAGAGAGCGCGCACTGGCCAGCACCTTGTCTGGCTGTTCCACCAGGGAGGGGGGCCCAGGCTCATGCCACCCTGATTTCAGAGTGTGGAAAGTTGAATCACAGCCCCAGGCTTTCACACTGGAGCAGGCAGGGAGGCCAGCCTGTGGCCGCGCCCTCCACAGGACACAAATGCTACAGGCCCGCCTTGCTGTCAAGAGCCACAGTGTGTCCTGGCCAGGCTCCCCCGGCCATGCCAGCATTGGAGGCCCTGCTGGCCACGTAAGGCCAGCTCCCTGGGCACAAGCCCATATCCCCCTCTCTCTCTGCCTGGATCCTCCTCAGTGTGGAAGGATTATGGGAAATGTCCTTTTTTTTTTTTAAGCCTTTTTCTGATTTCTGAAATGTTCTTTAATAAGCATGTGTGATTTTTTTTTTTTTTTACAATAGAACCCAATAGCTGGCGCCGCGGCTCACTAGGCTAATCCTCCACCTAGCGGCGCCGGCACACCGGGTTCTAGTCCCGGTCGGGGTGCCAGATTCTGTCCTGGTTGCCCTTCTTTCCAGGCCAGCTCTCTGCTGTGGCCAGGGAGTGCAGTGGAGGATGGCCCAAGTGCCTGGGCCCTGCACCCCATGGGAGACCAGGAAAAGCACCTGGCTCCTGCCTTTGGATCAGCATGGTGCACTGGCCGCAGCACGCCAGCCGCAGCAGCCATTGGAGGGTGAACCAACAGCAAAGGAAGACCTTTCTCTCTGTCTCTCTCTCCCACTGTCCACTCTGCCTGTCAAAAAAAAAAAAAAAAAAAGAACCCAATAAATTAACATTGAAAAGATGATACCCGGGGGCCCGGCACTGCCTTGTTCACCAGAGAAGCCCTTTCTCAGAACCACGAGCCTCCGTGCTGGAAGTCATACTGCCATCTCTTTGGAGGTAGATCGGCACCCTTTTTGCATCCTCAAGCCGGAGAATCCTGCCCAAGGTCCACCCAGGAGCTGGCCCCGAGGGGCCCCTGTCCCTGACACTCCTCCGGGAAACCAGAAATCCCAGCTGCTCACCAAGGATGAGCAGCCGCCAATCGCCGGCCTCCAGCTCAGGGCCAAGTGCACCCACCACTGAGCGCTCCCAGGGGCCAGGCTCCCTCACAGTGGCCAGCCAGCACCGAGAAGGGAGGGCAGGGGACAAAGGGCACGGGAGAGAGGGCTGCATCTCCCCCCTCCCCCTGGCCACCCAGCCCCAAACTCCCCACCCAAGGGGTCACTTGCTTTTGGAGCTTCATTTTTCCGTTAATAAAATGGCTCCCCAGTAGTTGACTGATATAGAAGGGCTTTGTCCCCTGCCCAGTGCCTGGGGCTGTGAGGGGACATTTTGGGGGGCAGCCTAACCCTCTGGACATGCTTGAAATGTGTCTCTCCTGACCCCTGTGCCCTGGCCCCAGCACCCACACCTCAGCAGGGGCCTGGACATCTGTGGCCAGCCACACAGCTGGCACCAGCCACTTGGACGCCGGAGGAGCAGCAACAGCAGGACAGGCCCCTGGGGACACAAGCAGGCGGCAGACATGCTTGTTGAGTCCTGCTACAGATCTGCCACCCGGCCCGCCCCCGTGCCACAGCTAAGTTCCACCGGAGTGCGGATCAGGCGTCTCGGCACCCCTCCGTCTCCCAGACCTGGCTCCAAGCCCCCCAGGCTCGGATTGGCCAACCATGCGGGTGCCTTGGTCACGAGTGGCTACTGAGTGGCCCAGGGGCTTGTGGCAGTGGCCGGGCCTTTTCCAGAGCCCTCCCACTGCAGAGAAGGGGCGGACGCCCCTACAGGCCACTGTTGTGCCAGCTGTAGATTCAAAGTGCCACCTGGAAGTCCACCAGGTGGGGGAAGCAGACCTGGGCTGAAATCCTGGCCCTCCCACCGTCCTGCTAGTGCGGGAGCCAAGCTTTCAGCCAGCCGCCGGGGCCATGGAGGAGCCCTTCTCACCTCCACAACGGACTCCCTCCACCTTGCACCCAACCAGTCTCGAAGATCTGCGCGGAGTTTCTCCATTTAAGAAAAGAAAAAGATGGGGCTGGTGCTGTAGCATCACGGGTAAAGCCGCCACCTGTAGTGCCGGCATCCCATATGGGTGCCACTTCAAGTCCTGGTTGCTCCACTTCCAATCCAACTCCCTGCTAATGTGCCTGGGAAAGCAGAGGAAGGTGGCCCAAGTGCTTGGACCCCTGCACCCATGTAGGAGACCTGGAAGAAGCTCCTGGCTTTCGATTGGCCTAGCCCTGGTCGTTGCAGCCATTTAGGGAGTGAACCAGTGGATAGAAACCTCTCTCTCTGCAACTCTTGCCTTTCAAATAAATAAATCTTAAAACATAAATAAATAAATAAACGAAAGAAAAAGGAAAAGAAACTACAATAGGATGTACAAAATTAGCAGGGGGAGAATGATCAAATCCTTGTGTACCTATCACTTAACTTCAGCCAGCGTCAACTCACGGCCAACCCACAGCCACATCACACCCTCTCTCTTCACCATTGGATTATTATTATTATTTTAAAGATTTATTTATTTGAAAGGCAGAGTGACAGAGAGAGGGGAAGACACAGAGAGATCTCCCATCTCCCAGTTCACTTTCTAAATGGCCACAATGGCTGGGGCTGGGCCAGGTCAAAGCCAGGAGGCTGAATCTTCACCTGAGTCTCCCACATGGATGTCAGGGGCCCAACTTGGGCCGTCTTCCACTGCTTTCCGAGGTGCATTAGCAGGGAGCTGGAGTGGAAGTGGAGCAGCCAGGACTTGAACCAGTGCTCATATGGGATGCCCGTGTCACAGGCACCACAATGCCAGTCCCAGCCACTGGATTATTTCTAAAACAAAGCTGAGGTATCGTGTGTCATTTTGCCTTATAAATACTTCAGAATGAATTGCTTAAAGACTTACAACACCATAACCATAACACCATGACCACATCTCAGAAAGTTAATCATACCTTTAATAGCATCAAATACCCCTCAGCCTTCAAATACCCTCCATTGCTCAAAAATGTATTTTACAGTTAGTTTGGATTTGAATCAAATAAGGTCACTGCATCATATCCAGTTGACATATGCATAAATTTCTTGAAATCTAGAGATTCCCCATCTTTTCTTGTAATTTTATCATTGTTGAAGAAGACACTGGGTTCTCCCGTGGCTGCCAACTCTAGCTTTTGGTCATTGTACCCCCACGTGTCATTCCTCATGTCCCTCTGTTCCTTATACTTCGGGTAAACTAGGAGTAGGATCCATGGGGTCAGATTCAACTTTGATTTTTTTTTTTAAGATTTATTTATTTATTTGAAAGGCAGAGTTACAGAGAGGCAAAGGTAGAGGCAGAGAGAGAGAGAGATATCTTCCATATGCTGGTTCACTTCCCAAATTCCCAAATGGCCACAAGGCCAGCGCTGGGCCAGTCTGAGGCCAGGAGCTTCTTCCAGGTCTCCCACATGAGTGCAGGGGCCCAAGGAGTTGGGCCATCTCCCGCTGCTTTTCTCAGGAGCTGGACCGGAAGTAGAGCAGCCGGGACTTGAACCAGCACCCATATGGGATGCCGGCACTGTAGGCAGCTGCTTTTCCTGCTGTGCCACAGCGCCAGCCCCAAGCTTTGATTTTTTGTCTGAGTTGGGGCTCACACGTCTGGAAGCGGGGTTTGCCTGCGGCTGAAATAGAAGGTTCAGGCACTGCCGTCTGATGCCCTTATTATAAAGGTCTCACTGCATGAGCAGTCAGCCTAAGTCCGAGACAAACGTAGAAACTGGCTGAGCAGTGGGCAGAGCTGGCCCCGGCAGGCTGGTTCTGGGCTCCAGGGCAGCGCAGACGAGTGGGCAGATTCAGATTTTGGAAAACCACCCTGGATGTTGAAGGAGGCATTGGAGAGGGAAGCCAGACTCCGAGAGCCAAGTGCTTCCACAGCTTTCTGGAGGGGCTGGGACTGTAAGGACAAAGGCAGAGCTGCGGTTGGGGAGGGGCCGAGGGGCATGCAGTAGGTGGCACAGGACTTGTGGAGGTAATGGGAGCTGCTGGGGGTCTTGGTCACGGTGGGGGATACACAATGTCGCGCTCCCATCAGCTGGTCCAGGACAAAGGTGCATCGGGCTCAGCTCGGTCTCCAGCCTTTCTTCTGCAGGTTTAGGCCCTGTCAGATCTTGCCTGGGTGACTGTCCCTTGTCGCCCCTGCATTCATTCGCTAGCGATTACTGGAGCTGGCAGTGTGGAGCAGCCAGTGAAGCTGCTGCTTGCCACACCGGCGTCCCAGACCGAAGCACCAGTTGGGGCCCAGCTGCTCCACTTCCAATCCAGCTCCCTGCTGATGTGCCTGCGAAGACGGGGGAAGACGGCCCAAGTGCTTGGGTGCCTGCCACCCATGTGGGAGACCCGGATGGTGTTCCTGGTTCCTGATTTCCACTTGGCCCAGCCCTGGCTGTTGTGTCCATGTGGGAAATGAACCAAAGTTTAGAAGACCTCTTTCTATGCCTCCCTCTCTCTGTAGCTCTGCTTTTCAAATAAATAAATAAATCTTAAGCAACAACAACAACTAGCAATTGTTAGGCATCCAGTACATGCTGGGCATTACAGACTTTCAAATGACCAAGGCCTCCCCTGCCTGCCTTCGAGAAACACCCACACTGGCCAGGATGTGGCCGCCATTCACCTGATGCGTTCAGCAAGGGCTCCGCCTTCGGAACGCCAGGGCTTGCCAGACAGAACTCACAGGTGTATCAAAAAATAATCTTTATTGTCACTAGTATAAAACAGAGCAGATCAACTGGCCTCTCAGTCTGTACAAGGTGTGGGGCAAACGACCACCTGGCCTGCCCCGTTCCCCCACAAGGCCCTGCCCAGACCAGTGCCCCAGGGCTTCTGTGAGGGCGGCCACCAAGTGCCTCCCCTCGGGAAGAAAGGTTGACGGTGGCCTGGCGGGGGGGGGGGGGGGATTCCCTGCCTGGGGAGGCACCGGCGCAGAGTAGCTCGCTGGAGTCGGGGAGCCTCCGAGCACTGATGCCGGGTCCACGCGGCGGTCAGAGGGCCACGCGGGTGCAGCAGTGGCGCAGCAGGCACGGGAGGATGCCCCGGTTTAGCTGGTGGAACTCCACGAGCTGCAGCAGGTCGGTGAAGCGCGTGTGGCCATCGTCCATGCTGTAGTAGAGGCAGCCCTCCTCCTCGCTCTGGGGCAGGGGGCACGGGCTCAGGGAGGGCACTGGGCTGGAGGAGGCCCCTCCTAGGCCAGGGCTCGGGTCCCCATTTCTTGTCCAGGGGAAAAGGAGGCACGCCGGGGGCTCGGGGAGGCCCCCCAAGGGAGGCAGAGGAGGAGCCCAGGTGCCAGGATTCCCCTGTCTCCCTGGCAGGCACCGGGGCATCTCGGGGAAGGCGGGGGCCACTCACCGGCAGGATGAGATAGTGCTTGACTTTCTGCAGGTGGCACAAGGAGAGGACAAAGCCCTGAGGGTTCCTCTGGCTCTCGCGGACCAGGAACAGGCTGCCGGAAGAGGGGGCAGAGTTACCCAGGACACCCGGCTGCGCCCTTGACCCAGCCTCTCTCTCAGTCCTGCACCTGCTGCCCGCCCAGCCCCACGCTTACCCGTCCACCAGGCCCTGCTGCCCAATGAGCTGCTGGCTCTCCTCACGGGAAATGCGCCCATGGAACCAGGGCTGAGTGCGGTGGATGGCTGGCGGAGGGCAGGGAGGAAGGCAAAGGGGAAGTCACTCTGGGGAGGGCACAGACAGCCTGCAGCGGCCCCCAGCCCCGGGCACCCCGCACCATCCCCCACCTGCACTGAGGCTGGTGCCGGAGCACGGCGTGGGCAGGCTGAGCCGGTGATTGGTCTTCTTCTGTGGAAGTGGGGGACATGGGGGTCAGGAGTGGGGGGTAGGGCCTCCCCCCTCCCACTCTGCAGAAGCCCATATGGAAGGCAGGGCCCCTGTAGGTACGCAGATGGGGGCAGGGCCCTCACCCGCCAGGCCTGGGCCTCCTCCAGGGCGGCACTCAGAGCTTCCCGAGGGTTCTCGATGACACGTCCGGCGTGGCCAGAGAAGTCCATGGCCACCAGGGTATTATCTGACACGCTCCTCTGGAGGCGGGAAGGGGAGGAGTCAGACAGTGCCTGGCTAGGCCTGGGGGTCCGCCCTCCCAGTGCCCCAGGCACACTCACCAAGGGTGGGGAACCCAGATAGGGCGGGCGCAGGTGGCGAGACTGTGCCTGCTGGTAATTCTTATATAGCTGCACCCCATACTGAGGGTGGGGGCGGGGAGAGAGAGACGGAGAGAGGGCAAGCCTGAGTCAGGAGGTCTTGGGGCTCAGGACACCCCAAGGGGAGGGCTCTTTCTGGCCTTGGACAGGAGCTGCCTGAAGCCAGGGGCTTGTCAGACAGCAGGGATGTGCTGGGGGGGCCAGGACGCCTCGTGCTCGGGACCCCCCCGCGCTCCATAGCCTCACCTTGAAGAGGCGGAAGGCGGCCAGCCAGCAGGTACGGCTCTGCTCATCCTCACTGCAGAAGATTCGGAGCCCCTTGTGGCCACTGCGAAGCTTGTTGGGCTGCGGAAAGAGGAGCTCACTGGTCCCTCGCCTGCCTTCAGGACAATGTCCGTCCCTGCCTCTCCACAGAGCAGGCCCCAGCACAAGGAGTCTCCAGCAGGGCAGGGTGAAGAGGGGGTGTCTGAGATGGAGCTCGGGGCCCCAGGCAGGAATCCTGGGGCCTGAGTACCTCCTGTCCCCCCATCCTCGGAGGGCAGAGTCTTCACCTTGATACAGAAGCCGAAGTCTGTGGGCATCCCGTAGAGCTTGCGGCCCTGGGTCACCACGTACACGTTGGACTCGTTCACGTCAGCCACGTACTGTAGGTGCCTGGGATCCTGCTCGGCAAGGTAAGCAGGATTTGGTTCAGGTAGACCCCCATCTCCCTGTCACGGCCCCCTAAGCCAGATGAGGGCGATTTCAGGACCAGAGAGGGGCAGGGAAGAACCCAAGGTCACACAGCAAACAGAAACAGCGCTTTCCCTAAACTCAAGTCACCTGCCTTTTCTACTGCTACCTCCCGGGGAGGGGGCGAGCTGGGCAGGGGGCTGGTGAACAACAGGCAGCCAGCCTGGAGGAGGCCGATGAGCGGCTGAGGGTCTCAGGGTACAGGAGTGCCAACAGGGAAGGGGGCAGCGGGGCGTGGGATTGCGTCCCCCGGACCTCACCTTGGAGGTGCCCTTGGTGGAGTAGTAGAGGCCAGACCGGCGCAGGAAGCAGAAGAAGCGTTTCCAGAGCTTGCGGCCCGACCCCCGCAGCTGCAGGAAGCCCTGGATCTCGGGGAAGCTGCCGGCGTTCAAGAAGTTCTGCGGGCACAGGAGAGTGGGAGGGGGTGAGAGGCCGCCCTCCCAGGGTCTGATGCCCCATCCCAGAGAGGGCGGCCCTGAGGCTGGGGCAGGGGAGGCGGCTTGTCCACAGCCTCGCAGGGCTGCACCTGGGCTCTTCCCAGGCGCCAGGCTCAGGGGCAGAGGAGGGCGGGGCCCCCACCTGGATGAGGTCTTCGTGGGAGACGCCTGCGTGCGCATCCACGCAGCTGGAGACCATCTTCTCCGGGAACAGCGAGTGCTGAGGGCAGGAGGGAGTGAGGCTGGGGGCCAGGGTGCCCCGGGGCCAAGACCCCCCCCCCCCCAGCCCCTGTACACTCACTCACCGGGGAGCTCTTGAAGAGTTCGTACTTGGCGAAGTGCTTCCGGAAGACGAAGCGGCTGTCTCCGCCCACGGGCCAGGCGGCCTGCACTTCCACCACGGACTCGTGGTCCTCCAGACCCCGCTCTGGGGGCACGGGCAGAAAGCAGTGGTTGGAGAAGAACCGCGCCCCCCCCTCCCCGCAGCGCACCAAGTGCGCCTCACCGCTCCCTGCACCCCAGCTCACCCAGTGCTAGATGGGGGTGACACTCCACCAGTCCCCAGTTCTCGTCATTCAGGGCGTGGGCACGATGCACCAGCATCTCACACACGTGGCGGGCCGTGGCACCCGCCGCCACCTCCACCGACCGGCAGGCCCCGTCCTCACTGTACACCTTCACCACCTGCTCCCCAGGGAGTACAGACGACGTGAGGGGTGGGGCAGAGGGTGATTCCCCTCCCCCACCTGCTGTACCCTCAAGGACCCCTGACCAAGAGCCCCCTTCCACCGAGCAGGCCCACAGCACCCCCATTTCCCTGCCTGCTCTTCCCGGGACAACTCACGTGGCTGGTGTCTCGAGGAAGCAGCCCCCTTGCGCTGGCGGACCCCCCAAGGATGGGAGCCTGCGAGGGAGGACTGCAGAGCTCCGGGAAGGGGTTGGGGATGGAGGGCAGGGAGCTTGCCTGAAGCCCCTCCTCTCGGAGTCTCCTGTGGGGAGGGCAGAGGGGGGCGGGGTGGGCTCACCTCTAGCTTTCGTACTTCCTAGTACTGACCCGCCCCACCCCCAGCCCCATCACGCCACCGTACCTGCTGGGCGGGATGGGCAGAGGCTGGGACCTCTTCACCTCCCCGGGCAGAGAGGCGTCGGGCAGCGGGGGAGTCCCAGGAGGGGTACCTGGCACTGGGCACAGGTCTTCCGGAGAGCTGCTGAGTTGAGGCGGAGACAGATCCAGCTCCATGACAGCTGGGGGAGGGGAGGGGACTGAGTGCAACAGCTCCTGTGCCCTGGTGCCAGGGCTCTGCCACCGTGAGAACCGGAGCCCTGGCCTCATGAGACTGTCGGGGTGCCCTAGCGGCTACACCGCATCCCACTGCTCGCCCTCCAACTGGAGTTTTTCTGGCGCCCTCGGCGGACAGAGTGAGCCCCACTTTACAAGAGGACCCCGAGTTGCCAAGAAGGAGGCATTCTCACGCCCCCTGACAGGTGCAGGGGGCGGAACCTGGTGTTCCAGGCCTCTTCCTCTGGCCCAAAGTCAAGCCGGGGACAAGCTAAGGGGGACCCCCACACACCATATGCCTGGCAGCAGCAACAGTCTCCAGGGCCCACAGACAGTCCGCAGCTCGGCCCTTGGTGTCAGGGCACAGCGCCACCCCCTCCCGCACCTGTAAGCGTGGGGGCACTCACTCCGCTGGGCTCTGCCCCGGGTTTTTCCAGCCCTTTGTTGCCAGACCCGGCTGCCAGAGCCTGTGGTGGCAACGCCTGCCCAAGTGATGAGTGATGCACAGGACAGGAGCGGGGGGAGGGCAGAACAGGCTCGGCAGAGCGGGGGTGGGGGGGGCAGGAGGCCCAGCCTCTGGTCTCAGCAGCCCCCAAATCCCTATGCCTTCTCCAGGCCCCTTTCCCCACCTGGCTCTGTCCTGAGGTCCCAAGGCTGGAGCCACCTCCTCTGAGCAGCCTTCCCGGGGTTTCCACGTGCAGACTGATGGGCTCCCTCTAGCACTGTGCTGGGGCCTCTGCACCTGTCCTCTCCACCCAGTGGCCTGAGGGCACCTGACACCCACAGGCAAAGCCAGAGTCTTGCACCCCCAGAGACCGCCTGGAGCGGAAGCAAGCAAGGCCAGGTGAGAGAGGGCAAGGATGCCCACCGCGGGCAGAGGCGGGGCTGCCCTCTTCTGCAGGAACCAAGCAGACCCCTTTGGCTGAGCTGAGACCTGGGAAGACCCTGGACGGTGCGGTGAGGCCGCTAGGACACCTGGGATTGGCCAACACGCGCGGGTGTGTGTGTGCGCACACACACACACGCGTACACACACACACACTCAGAGTGGGGCGAGCGCCTGACACTTCAGTGAGGGCAGAAGGGAATTTGGGGGGCAGGTGAGCCAGGGCGGGGCAGGATGGCACTGCCTGGGACTCTCCACGCAACTTGACTCATCTGCACTTCCTGGCTGAGGAGAAACGCAAACAAGGCTGCACCCCTCTCCCCTGTGCTACCGGGGGAGGGTGGGGCGGGACGGAAGAGAAGGAGGATGCCGGCTGGAGCTGCCTCTGACTGATGTCACCCTCTCCTCCCCACCCCTGGCCCACCTCCAGCCCAGGTGGGAGCTGAAGTCTGCCCACCCTCAGCCCCAAGCCACCACCTGGCCCGGGAGGGGGAGAAGAAATGCCAGGCCTGGATTGCGAGGTCATCTGGAATGGAGCTGACTTCCCAGCTGGGGGGCCCCTGCCCAAGAAAGCTGGGCTCCCAGCCCCCGCTGCCCCCTCCCCACACCGTGGGTCTGGCCCTGGTCCTGTTGCTAGGTGTCCCTGGTCCAGAGGACTTGTCCACATCAGCCTGGGGGATGAGGGTCCCCATAACACACCCTCTGGACAGAGGGAGCCCATCAGTCTGCACGTGGAAACCCCAGGAAGGCTGCTCAGAGGAGGTGGCTCCAGCCTTGGGACCTCAGGACAGCAGGAATGGAAAGGCCCAACACCAGAGAGGACAGAGCAAAGGACCCCAGAGAGAGCGGGGCGGGAAGGGCGAGCCACACTCCCCACCCAGCGTCCCCAGACACCAGCGCCCCACTCCCACCCCCCAACCTCGGACAAACCCCAGGAATTCGCTGCAGGAAGACTGGGGGAGGGGCTGCCGGGCTGCGCCTCCCCGCGAAGTCCGAGGGCAGCAGCAGGGATCCCCAAGAGCAGTGTTGGGGGCGGGGGACTGAGGTGGGAGGGGTCCAGGGCCTCCGGCAGACTGGCCGAGGCCGAGGCTGGGGAGGGGCGGGAAGGCAGAGGCCAGCTGGGAGGCCTGCGCTGCCCCCTCCAGCTGCCGCTGGAGAAAGCCCCCAGACCAACTGGTTCCCCAACCCGGCAGCTCCAGGCCACCGCTTCCCGGGCTGCCTCCCTGCCCTAACCGCGCCAGCACCACCCTCCTGCCACCCTCGCCGCCTCCTTGTTTACTTCCTGAATCTTGCCCCACCTGGCTGGCCCCAAGGGCAGGGGGCAGGGCCCGGTGTTTAGGGCGGACAGAAAACAAGGCCACCGTCCGAGCTTCCCAGGGCGGGGGGAGGGGCTGGGGTGTGGCGGCGGTCCCCGGGGGGGCCCGTGCTCCCCGCCCCACCCCCACCGCTACAGAATGTGGTGGGGGAAGCTTCACCTTCGGGGGAGCTCCTAGGGCCAGAGACCAGGTGAGGTGGGAGACTCCCCGGTGACCTGCAGTTGAGGGGAGGACCCAGGGCCCCTGAGGCCCCGCCCACTCCCTCACTCGGGAAAAACACCTACTGGGGGGGCACTCTTTTAAAGTTTAATTTGGGAAGAATGCTAGAGTCTCCCGGGTGGAGTTAATCATTATTGTGCACTCAAGGAGGTCCCTCCCCACAGAGCAGGATGTCAGCGGGAGACAGGCGGGCAGAACCCCGCCAGGCCCAGCCAGGGCCGTCCTGGGGGCCCAGGGTGCAGCCGGGCAGACAGGTGCATGCTCTGTCCCCACTCTACCAGGGAGACCGGGCTCCGAGGCTGGGTCTCTCCCCAGACTCATCAGACAAGACCACCTGCCCTTCCCTCCTCGCCCAGACCCCTCGGCACCCAACCGGACAGCCCGAGGGCACCATGGGCCTGCCTGCCCCCCACCTGCCCCCCACCTGCCCAGGCAAAGGCAGTGCGCTGTGTCCCAAGCAGGGACTGCAACATGGAGAAGGAGCCCCAGTGACCAGAGTCCCTCTCCTGCACCGCCCTCCATGGTGGGGGCACCCCTAGTCCGACTGGCTGAATAGATACGTGGGGAGGGGACCCAGATGGGGCAGAATCGGGCTGAGCAAGGGCGTGAAGGCAGCTCCCTCGGGATTCAGACCCCCCCCCATTCTAGCTCTTTCTCTGTGTATGGGGAGGGGCCGGTTTCAGCGGGAAAGCTGGAGGAGAAAAATCCCAGACCTCCTATCCCCACAAACAGGTCTGTGCATGTATGGGGGAGGGGGCGTGCGGAGAGAGGAGGAGGAAGAGGACAGGAACCAGAAATGGGGCAAGGATGGGAAACCGAAGGAAAAGAGAAAGTGTGAGGTGGTCTGAGTGGCACAGCAGGGGACCGAATCTTCTAGAATTACCCCAGACCTGCCCGTGCAGCCCACCTCTGGATGAAGCACCTGCTTTGGTCCTTAACTGTACCCAGGGCACTGGTACACCTGGCTGGGGCCACTGGTTGGGGGAGAGAGATGCCAGGCCCTTAACTACCTGTCCCCACCCCCCACCCAGCGCCCCCCCACAAACACACACACCCTGCTCCTGGCCTGACATCACCGAGCAGACAAGGAGGGCAGTTGGCCAGCTCGGACAAGATGGGCACAGCCTGGGCCCTGGTGCGGCTGAGGGTAGAAGCGAGTGGTCGTCTGAGACCCGATCGTGGTCCCTTTACCTGGAGGAGCCCCCGCAGAGGTGGCAGGACACTGCGTGCAAAGTCTGGCTCAGCCTCGGGCCCCTGGATTTCAAATTCACTCCCGATTCCCTGCGGGTGGCAGGAAGATGTCCCGACTTTGGCCGTAGAAGTCGGGGGAGAAGGAGGTAGCCCTGTGTGTCCAGATTCCAGGCCCAAGGAAACTAAAATTATCTTGGGCAGGTGGGGGCGGGGCCTGGGGGAGGCGCTTGGGAGAAGGAAGCACAGGGAGGGGGCGGAGACTCCTGGGCTCTCTGAGGGCTGGGCTGGGATTGTTTTCGCCCTTTCCTAGCCCAGCGACAGGTGCCTGGGGAGAGGCAGGGAAACCTGGCAAACAGAGCAGCCTGGAAAGCCGAGATCAAGAGTCCCGACCACTTGGGAGGGAAGGTTTGGGGGCTGGCAGAGAAAGGTGAATCTGGGCCCAATCTGCCCCCGTAGGCCGAGCAGGGAGCCCGTCCCCAGCTCTGAACCAACCCTCTGGAACAAAGGGCACCCTGAGAAGGAGGGAGGCAGCCAGGGGAGTGTCCAGCAGCCTATCCTGGCCTCTGACCTCCGGCCACGGTCTGGCCACCTAGGCTGTGCCCTGGCTCCTCAGAGGCGCTCAGACTCTGCTCTCCCTCCCGAGCAAAATCCAGGGTCTCATCTCAGCTGCCGCCTTTTGAATCGAAGGGGCCAGGCAGGGTTGCACCGTGGGAGCAGCCACCACCATCTAGGAATTCTGGCTCGCCCAAGGCACTGCTCTGAGGGCCAGGGCTTTAGACTTCTCCCTCGGCACTCGGCAAACAAGGGTAGCAGGAGGGGGGCGAGAGGCAGAGATCAAAGGCGGCAGCCACCTCCCAGCTTGATGAGGGTGACAGTTGGAAAAACAAACAATCCTAGGGGTGATAAGAGACCTGCCCTGGGGGAGCACGGAGGGGTGGCTGTGGCTTCAACTTTCTCCCAACTTTGGTTTTCCTTGAAAAACCAGTGGAGGGGAGGGGTTGGAGGAGCCAAGAGGTGGGGGAGGGGCAAAGGTCACCTGGTGCGGGAAGGCACCGCAGCCAATTCAACTGTTGAGCCCCAGGTGTCAGCCCTCTGCTTGGTGCTGGGGATGCTGTGGGGAACAGCACAAACAGGCCCCGCCCTTGTCCTCATGCTGCCCACTCAGGGAGACCACCCTTATCAAAGAACCATACACATAAGATAGGACCGGCTCAGCAGGTGAAGCCTGCAATGCCAACATCCCGTAGGAGCAATGGTTCAAGTCCCAGGGGCTCCATTTCCAATCCAGCTCCCGGTTGATGGGCCTGGAGAAGCAGCAGAAGATGGCCCACGTGCTTGGGTCCCTGCCATCTACACGGGTGACGTGGATGGAGTTCCAGGCTCCTGGTTTGACCTGACCCAGCCACAGCCATTGCAGCCATTTGGGGAGTGAACCAGTGGATGGAAAGCCACTCCTTCTCTTTATATATAAAACTGGCTTTCAAATAAATGTCTTTTTTTTTTTTTAAAGAAATGACAGGTGACAACTCTACTAGATGAATGCCTGGGCAGCTAGGGGAAGGGACAAGCGGCTGGGAGCGGGGAGTAGGGTCACCTTCCACACTGAGGAATAAGTGCCAGAGCCCTTGGCAGGAGGGGACTTCTGCAGAGGCAGAAACTGGGGTGGAGGAGAAGGGAGAGAAGAGGCCATGCAGGTGTGCCTGGGTAGGTGTGGAAGGTGTGGGGAAAAGTGGCCCGGGACCTCCTGCTTCCACGTCTCCTTGGAGAGATTAGTGGTTTTTTTTTTTTTTTTTTTTTCCTTGTGGAAAACACAGATCCCTGGGCCCTTCCCAGCTACAGACTCTGTCTCCGCTGAGGCCCAGGAATGTGTGGTATTGACAAGCCCTGGGGTAGCTGTTCTGCAGAGAGAGCCATCTAGCCTGTTCGTCCAGACTGGCAGGAGTCCTGGGCTGAGGCCAGACCCTGCGGAGTTGGGGTCGTCCTGGGCTTCCGTGGTGGTGGTGGTGGTGGTGGTGGTGGTGGTGGTGGCTACGGCGGTGTGCACAGAGGAGTGGGCCCATTTGCATTTTGGAAAGATCACTGTGGGTGTTAAGGAGGCATCAGACAGAGCTGGAACTGTAAGGACTATAAGCAGATGTCTGGCTGGGGAGAGGGCTTGGCAGTAGGGAGCACCGGGACCCGTGGGAAGTAACAGATCATACTGGGTCTTGGTCATGGTGACCAGTGCAGCACTGGGTGTGGCAGGACTCACTGAGAGGAACACTCAAAACGTCGATTTTGAAAGGCAGAGGGGGCCGGCGCCGTGGCTCAGTAGGCTAATCCTCTGCCTTGAGGCGCCGGCACACCGGGTTCTAGTCCCGGTTGGGGCGCCGGATTCTGTCCCGGTTGCTCCTCTTCCAGGCCAGCTCTCTGCTGTGGCCCGGGAAAGGCAGTGGAGGATGGTCCAAGTGCTTGGGCCCTGCACCCCATGGGAGACCAGGAGAAGCACCTGGCTCCTGCCATCAGATCAGCACAGTGCACCGGCCGCAGCGTGCCAGCCGTGGCAGCCATTGGAGGGTGAACCAACGGCAAAAAGGAAGACCTTTCTCTCTGTCTCTCTCTCTCACTATCCACTCTGCCTGTCAAAAAAAAAAAAAAAAAAAAAAAAAAAAAAAAAAAAAAAGGCAGAGGGAGAGTCAGAGAGCGACCTTCCATCTGTTGTTCTACTCTCCAAATGGCTGGAGGAGCTGGGCAGGTCTGAAGCCAGGAGCCAGGAGCTTCTTCTGGGTCTCCCACACTGGTGCAGGGGCCCAAGGACTTGGGCCATCTTCTAATGCTTTCCCAGGCCATGGAGTGGCCAGGACTCCAACCGGCATTGCAGGAAGTAGTTTAACCCACCATGCCATGGTGCCAGCCCCGAGGGTGACTTTTACTGTGTATAAATGGCATTTGAATTTTTTTTAAAAAGGAATAATAATAGAATAAATTAATAAATGCTTCTTGTTTTACAGTGGAATTTGATCTTTTAAAATATTTATGTATTTATTTGAAAAGCAGAGCAACAGAGAAAGAGGGAGAGACAGATCACCTGTCTGCTGGTTCACTCCTCAAATGGTCACAGCAGCCAGGGCTGGGCCAGGCCACAGCCAGGAGCCGGAACTCCATCCCGGTCTTCCGGTCTTCCACATGAGTAGCAGGGACCAAGTACTCAGGTCCTCTTCTGTTGCCTTCCCAGTCACATTAGCAGGAAGCTGGATGGGAATAGCTGGGACTCAAACTGGCACTGCTGTCTGGGATATTGGTCTCGCAAGCAGTGGCCTAATCTGTTGTACCAGCCCCTACATCTTTTTCTTTTTAAGAAAAGAAAAATTTAAGAAAAATTAAGTTCTTTTTAATTTAAAAGGCAGAGTGAGAGAGAGAAATATTGAGAAATGGAGATCTTCCATCCACTGGTTCATTCCCCAAATGACCACAACAATCAGGTCTGGGCCAGGTAGAAACCAGAAGCCAGGAACTCCATCCTGGTCTCCCACGTGGGTGAGAGTGGCCCTAGTACTTGAGACCCAGGCACATTAGCAGGTAGCTGGATTGGAAGCAGAGTAGCTGGGATTTGAACCAGCAATCTGATATGGGATGCTGGTGTTACAAGCAGTGGTTTGACTCACTGTGCAACAAGGCCAGCCCCTGGAATTACATTTAGATCAATCCATCGTAAGTGCATTTAACACACCTAACACACCTAACCCACCTAACACACCTAACACACCTAACACACCAAACCCACCGAACACCACTGTATGCCTATTGCTTTGCAACCATTAGGATGCCAAAAAATTAGTTGAACTATCCTAAGGTAGGGATCATCGTTACAGATCAAGGGAACAGCATCAAGAGTCCAAATACAAACTCTTACATTTCTGGCTAGTTGACTTTTGACAAAGGTGCTGAGATGATCTGATAGAAAAAGAATGGTGTTTTCAAAAGATGGGGTACTCAGATGCCAAAAGATGAATTTAGACCCTTACCTTGCATGACACATAAAAATTAACTTAGGACACATAACACACCGACATGTAAAAGCTAAAACTTCTAGAAAAAATCATGGGAGGAATCTTTGTGACCTTGAATTAGGCAAGAAACCTAAATACAAGAGCAAAAGCACAAAAATATGATAAATTCCACTTTATCAAAATTAGAATATTTGTACTTCAAAAGGCACCATTAGGGAAAAAGAATGCTAGCCAGAAACTGAAAGAAAATGCCCTCAAATCATACAACTCACTAGGGATTTTGTGTCAGGAATAAAAGAACTTATATATCAATAATAAGGAGACAATGGGGCCGGTGCCGTGACTCACTTGGTTAATCCTCTGCCTGTGGCACTGGCATCCCATATGGGCTCCGGGTTCTAGTCCCGGTTGCTCCTCTTCCAGTCCAGCTCTCTGCTGTGGCCCGGGAAGGCAGTGGAGGATGGCCCAAGTGCTTGGGCCACTGCACCCTCATGGGAGACCAGGAAGAAGCACCTGGCTCCTGGCTTCAGATTGGCGTAGCTCCGGCCGTAGCGGCCATTTGGGGAGTGAACCAATGGAATGAAGACCTTTCCTTTCTCCCTGTCTCTCTCTCTCACTGTCTGTAATTCTACCTGTCAAATAAATAAATAAAAATCTTTAAAAATAATAAGGAGACAAGCAACACCTGGGTGGTGGTGATCAAAAGACACGGTGTTGGTGAGGATATGGAGAAACAAATCTTTACATACTCTATGACTAGTGGCAATGGAAAATGGAAGAGCTACTGGGAAAAACAGCTTGGCAATTTCTTTAAAAAAAAAAACAAAAAAGATTTTTGTGACTGGCACTGTGGTGTAGCACGTTAAGCTGCTGTCTGCAGTGCCAGCATCCCATAGGGTTGGAGTCCTGGCTGCTCCATTTTCCTTTTTTTTTTTTTTTTTTTTTGACAGGCAGCGTGGACAGTGAGAGAGAGAGACAGAGAGAAAGGTCTTCCTTTGCCGTTGGTTCACCCTCCAATGGCTGCCGCGGCCGGCGCACCGCACTGATCTGAAGCCAGAAGCCAGGTGCTTCTCCTGGTCTCCCATGGGGTGCAGGGCCCAAGTACTTGGGCCATCCTCCACTGCACTCCCGGGCCACAGCAGAGAGCTGGCCTGGAAGAGGGGCAACCGGGACAGAATCCGGCACCCCAAATGGGACTAGAACCTGGTGTGCCGGTGCCACAAGAAGGAGGATTAGCCTAGTGAGCTGCGGCGCCGGCCTGTTTCCATCCAGCTCCCTGCTGGTGCGCCTGGGAAAGCAGTGGAGGATGGCCCCAGTCTTTGAGCCCTTGCATCCATGTGGGAGTCTTGGATGAATCTCCTGGCTCCAGCCTAGCCCAGTCTCAGCCATTGTGGCTATCTGGGGAGTAAACCAGCAGATGGGACCCCCCCCTCCCCCCCCCCCTCTCTGCCTCTCCTTCTCTGTAACTCTGACTTTCAAATAAGTGGATAAATCTTAAAAAAAAAAAAAAAAAAAAAGACTTATGAGACGCATTGAGGCACAGCAGCCACCACCTGCTTCTCAGGCATCCCACGTGGGCACTGGTTCCTGTCCCAACTGCTCCCCTCCGATCCAGCTCCCTGCTATGGCCTGGGAAAAGCAGCAGAAAATGGCCCAAGTGTTTGGGCCTCTGCCACCCACATGGGAGACCTGGGTGAAGGTCCTGGCTCCTGGCTTTGGCCTGGCCCAGCCCTTGTGGCTGCAGCCATCGGAGGAGTGAATCAGCAGACAGAAGATCTCTGTCTGTCTCTCTTTCTCTCTCTGTAACTTTGCCTTTCAAACAAATAAACAAATTTTCTAAAGAGAGAGAGAGAGGGAGAAACAGAGAGAAAGAGATCTTCCATCTGCCTGTTCACTCCCCAAACGGCGGTGACAGTCCAGACTGAGCCTTGTCTGAAGCCAAGAGCCAGGATCTGCATCCAGGTTTCCCATATGGGTGGCAGGGGTCCAAGCACTTGGACCATTTTCTGCTACCTTCCCAGGCATATTAACAGGGAACTGAATTGGAAGTGGAGCAGACAGGACTTGAACCAGCACCCCAATATGGAATGCCAGCATTGCAGCTATGTCACAAGGCAGGCCCCAGCAATTTTTTAAAAAGTGAAACACAACAATTTATTCCTAGGAATCCACTCAGGAGAAAGGAAAACACACATTCATAGAGACACCCACATGACTGCTTATAGCGACATTATCCAAAGTAGAAACTGAAAACCCGACGTCCATCAGTCGGTGAATGAACAAGATGCTATCTGGCTGGCACAGGTGTTGCAGCACAGCGGGTTAAGTCACTGCTTGAGGTACGCACATTCCACATCACAGTACCTGGGACTGAGCCCCACCTCCGCTTCCAATCCAGCTTCCTGCTAATGTGCCTGGGAGGCAGCAGAGGACGGCCCCAGGGTTCCTACCATCCGTGTGAGATACCTGGATGGAGTCCCTGGCTCCCGGCTTCCTTTGGACCTAGCCCTGGCAAGTGCAGGCATTTAGAAAGAAATGAACTAGCAGATGGAAAGTCAATATCAGCCCCCATCCCCATCACTCTGCCTCTGCCTTTCAAATAAATCTTTTTTTTTTTGGAATACTACTTAGTAATAAAAAAGAACAAAGTACTGTACATGCTACATGAGCGGATGAGCCAAAAAAAAAAAAAAAAGAAAGAAAGAAAGAAAGAAAGAAAGAAAGAAAGAAAAGATACTGAGCGAAAGAAGCCAGAAGCAAAAGACCCACACTGTATGATTCTATCTATAGGAAACATCCAGAAAAGGTAAATTTATAGACAGGAAGCAAATCAGTGGTTGCCTAGAACTGAATATAAACAGGTGGGCGGGACCTTATCAGTTTGATGGAAATCTTCTGTAATTGGATTGTGGCAGTGTTTGCACAACTCTGCAAATCATTGAACTGTTTATAAAGTAAAGGGTTAAAGGGGCACCACACGTGGCTGACCAGGTAGGCTACTACTGCGGTATCCAGGAAGCCAGGAGACAGTTAAGGACTTGAGTAGCCTCTATTTCCAGTATTGCAAAATGAGATTAATGCCCAGCTCTCTAGGGAGGAGCTGCCAAGGCACAGCGGATGTGCAGGAGCTGGATGCAAATGACGACCCTGAGGAGTTAGCCCTCTCCTCCCCCCCCACAGTCTAAGGGCCTCCAGTGCAGGGAAAAGCAGTCACACAAGACTGGAAAAGTGCCATCAGCCTGTGAGTGAAAAACGGAGACTGTCACCACCAGCCGCCCCCAGCCCAAGCAGCTTGCCCCACCGCTTTCTCTGCCTTTTATAAACTGGAACGCTCTTTGCAGTTTACGATAGTTCATTCGATTAAGGAAAGCCATGAAGCTGTGAGGGGCGAGCCCATCAGCGAAGGTCTGGGCCCTGTCTGCCCAGCCTCGCCCAGGACGCAAGCTCTCCCGCGGCGGTGCAGGGTTAGGGCCCAACAGCGACCGCGGCCTGCAGGGGGCGCCCAGACGCACCGCGCGGCCCCGCCCCCAGCCACGCCCCGTCACGTGCCCACCGCGTCGCGTCACACGCGGAAGCGGCGGCCGGAGCGGAGCCGGCAGCGATGAGCGGGGAACCGGGGCCGACGTCCGCAGCGCCCTCTCCCGGGGAGGTGGAACCGGGCAGTGGGGTTCGCATCGTGGTGGAGTACTGGTGAGCGGCTCCGGCTCGAAGGGGCCCCTCCGCCCCCCACCCTGGGCGGGTCGAAGGTGGGTCTACCGGAGGCCCCTCCCCCGGAGCCCCAGCGCACTCGGCATCTCTTCTCCCCAGTGAGCCCTGCGGCTTCGAGGCGACCTACCTGGAGCTGGCCAGTGCCGTGAAGGAGCAGTATCCGGGCATCGAGATTGAGTCGCGCCTGGGGGGTACAGGTGAGGCCCGCAGAACACCTGCTGAGTCAGCCTCCTTTAAATGCCAGCCCTGCTGTATTTTATAGCTGTGACACTGGCTGCTTTGCCCAGCGGTGTGCATACACGAGGCCCCTGCCGTAGGTGAGGGGGTCGCAGACAAGGACTACGGAGAAAAACCGGTTCGGCTTGAAACGGTGCAGGGTTGGAGGGGAGGGGACGCTTTTTTGAATGCTAAAGATTCCTGAGTGGACCAAGGTTGGGGAGGACTTGAGCTACATGAGTCACTAACGGGGCTGATGGACTTTGGTATAAGCTCTCCCACACCTCTGTCCCCGGCAAAGCACTCCTTCATTTCTTTCATACCAGGGGCCTTTGAGATCGAGATCAATGGACAGCTGGTGTTCTCCAAGCTAGAGAATGGGGGCTTTCCTTATGAGAAAGATGTGAGTATTCCTAGGGCCAGGGGGACCGCGGGTCACCCTTGCCCACCGACTGCATCACCTGTTCACATCTCTGTCTGCTAGCTCATTGAGGCCATCCGGAGAGCCAGCAACGGAGAACCCCTAGAAAAGATCACCAACAGCCGGCCGCCCTGCACCATCCTGTGAGCACCCGCGGTTCTGGGAGCCACTGGGAGCTCCCCCACCTTTCCCCTGACTGCGCTCCTGGCGTCCGCTCTGCCCCTTTGGATACAAGGAGGAAGTAAAGGCTCGAGGGGTCTTGAGAGCAGGAGAGGGACGCTCGCTGTGGACACGAGGTCATCGCCCCTTTCCAGGAACGGAGCCCAGGCCCGGCCCAGCCTGGCAGCACCTGTCAGATGGCACCATAGATCTTATTTACTCCCCCTCGCCCCCAGCCCTGGGCCGGGTCAGCTATGGGCAATAAAGAGGCACTACAGACACCTGTGCCAGCGAGCGTGCGTTTACGTTCAGCCTTGGGAGCGAGCGCTGGGGCACAGAGGGCAGCTGGGCCTTTGCACCACCTGGTGGGTGGGCTTTTTCTTGGGAAAGTGAGTAACAAAGTAGATACTGCCTTCCCCCTCCCCCCATCATCCACTCCCCTCACCCAGAAGCAGAAAACCGCCCCATTCTGGTGGGGTGGCCTGAGCAGTTAGTTTGTCCTAAGCAAGAATCATCGGGTTGTCAAAGGGTCTTCGGATCAGAATCCCAACTTTCCAATGCCCCCTATCCAAAAGCCAGGCTCCAGGACAGCAGGCTCCTGGTCGGTCCTTGCTTTCTCAAGACTTGCAGCCACGCCCACCAGGAAGAGAGGAGCTGACTGTTGGGTGAGCTGCAGGGATGGCACGGAGTATCACCCCCACCCTGGCATGAGCTAGTGTCAGCTGTTTTCCAAAATATATTTGCAAGTGGAGAAAGTGGGTGTGGAGGGAGGACCCCTCCTCCATACAACTCCCCCTGTTCCCTGGGTCCTTATTTCATCTTTTAAAAAACAAGTAAAAACAAAACAAGAAAAGCACTCTGTACAAGGATGGGGTCTGGCTGCTGGTGCCGGCCCCTTCTCCCGGGGGCAGCACCGAGCCTGAGGGAGAGCCTGCATGGGTGGCTCGTGTCTGGCACACGCCCCCCCTCCTGGGCCCAGCTTCGCTCAGCCCTTCGGTGCCAAGCTGCTGCCTCGCGTGAGGAGGCTGTGGCTGTGGCCCCCTGCACCCTAGAACCTGGCGGTGCGGGGCTCCAGGGTCCACCAGCACTTCCCAGGGCGGGCCCTTCTCAGCCACTGGAACTCAGCAGGCAGGGAGATCCTCAGCACGGGCTCCTGGCACGGCGCAGGCTGCCCGGGGTGTGGTCCAGGGCCCTGTCCTTGCCTCGTTGTGATGTGGGCAGAAGTCAGGGCTCCCCACTCCCTGAGGGCACAGCAGGGCTTCTGCACGCTCGGCCTGTGGCTCACACCGGCACGTCCAGGCCCAGGTACTCGGGGTTCTCTGCCGTAGGGGTCCCTTCAAAGGTGCTGGGTGGGGACCCCCGCTCTGCTGGGTCCTGGTCCCAATAATAGAGGTTGTCAAAGGCTGGGCTGAAGGCAGGAGGAGAGTGGGGCTGAGGGGCAGCCCCTCCCCGGGGTGCCAAGTACTCGGGGTTCTCCACGGCACCCCCAAAGGCAAAAACGTCTTTGACAACCCCATTCTTCCCGGGGGAGAGAGTCTTGGGCCTTTCCAGGGTGGCCCCGGCTGGCCGGGCAGGCGGTGCAGGGCCCTCCAGGGGCGAGGGGGGCTGCGGCCGGACCTCTGGCTGGTTCACATACTCTGAAAGGGCGAGAGAGGACTCAGGAAAGGATCCCAGGGGCCCCAGCGTATCCCCCGCCCACCCGATCTCCACTCAGGCCTGGAATCCATACCGGGCTGGGGGCTGCAGGTCAGGGGGGCAACGTAGCCGTCAGTGTCCGGGGGCAGGGGTCCTGTGGGGTCCTCACTGTACCGTTGCAGAGGGTTGGGGTCGTGTGGCGGGAGGCTCTGCAGCCCCTTGGCTGCCCCCATCCCCAGGTCGCCATCGAATACGTCGGAGCCAGCCCCTTCTGAGGGGGCCAGTGGAGACCTGGGGGGCTCCTCTTCGGTGGGCTCCAGCCCCAACGGCAGCTCACCGCCACCACTCTGGGGACAGGAGAGAAGGTCATGACCTGGGGTGGACACCCCGTGAGAAGTGACTGGGTCCCGGGGCGTGACACAGTCGCCACAGAGAGGATGGGGTCACGGGTTGGAGGGCAATAAGCGTCGCCCCTAGGGAGAATGGGGTCTCCATGAGGGAGGGGGTGGGGGAACATCCAAGGGGGACTTGGTTCCCTGGGGCGGAGAGGGGAGCAAGCACAGCCCGCAGTGTGACCGAGGCACTGACCCGGGTGGACGAGCTGCGGTGCCTGCGGTGGGCTGTACCCCCAGCGCCCGGAGCAGGGTCTGGGCAGAAGAAGCCCTGCTGGGGCACCAGGTACTCCTCAGCGTCCACCAGGTCCCCCATGTCATCATCCTCCAGCAACGAGCGGTAGAAGGTGCTGTCCAACGGGCTGGCGGGGCCCAGGTCCTCATTCTGGGGAGGAGGCAGGCACAGCGTGGCAGCCCCTCCCCAGCCCAGCTTCACAGAGGGCAAGAGGCGGGGGCTGGGCTCGGGGTCCTCATCCCCAACCCCTGCAGGAGAGGTGGGTCGGGACAGGGCAGGAAGGCCCAGTACCTGGATGACCACAAAGCGCTGGGGGTCCCTGGCCATGCGGGAGAATTCAGCCACCAACTCCCGGAATCTGGGCCGGCATTCCGAGTCAATCATCCAACCTGGGGCGGGAGCAAGCTCAGTGTCCCGGTCCCGGTCCCCCCAGTGTGCTGGCTGCCTCCCTGGGAACCCCGACCCAGCTCCCCCCGGCCCAGACAACCCTGACTGACAGCCTGGGACCGGCTCTCTGGTCTGGAGCCAGGACCTCTGGGCACCCCTTCTAGGTTCCCCTCTTAACTTGCATGTAACTCCCCAGACTTCTATAGAAGGGATACCAGACGCTTTGGGGGCTCCTGTAACTATACCAAATCCCCTGGGCCCACAAACATCTGGTTCCCAGCCTCCTCCCAGTGCCCCCGTGGGCCCCTCCACCCAGGACCTCCCAGCCCGCCTCCAGGCAGCCAGCCTAGCTCAGCCACGCACATTTGACCATGATCATGTAGACATCGATGGTGCAGATGGGGGGCTGGGGCAGCCGCTCCCCCTTCTCCAGCAGGTCAGGGATTTCCCGGGCTGGGATCCCATCGTAAGGTTTGGCCCCAAAAGTCATCAGCTCCCAGACAGTCACCCCTAGGACAGAGACGGGGGACCAGAGGGAGCGTCAGTGTCCTGAGCCCTGCAGCTCTGCCCAGCAGCCTGGCACCGCCATGCGAGTTGGAGATGTGACGTCGAGGGTCCGGATTTACCCGGTCCTTCCTCAGTGCCTAGAAAGTGGGCCCGGGCAGCCCTTGCCTCCCCCACGACACACACGTGCACCCACTAAGGTTCCTCCTAGTCCTCCCCATCCCAGCACCCGCACAGGTCCTCATCCAGCGCCCCGCCCACCGCCACGCACCGTAGCTCCACACATCACTCTGGTGGGTGAACCGCCGGCGGAGAATGGACTCCAACGCCATCCACTTGATGGGCACCTGGGAGGGCAGAGGAGGAAGTCCTCCAGTCGGATGTGGCGGGAGGCTGCCGTTCCCAGAATTCTCCTGGGGCTGGGCCCCACCCCACCCAGCCTCAGCTTGCTCGCGCCTCTGACCTTGCCCCCGTCCGCGTGGTACTCTGTCTCGTCAATGTCCAGCAGCCGAGCCAGCCCGAAGTCTGTGATCTTGACGTGGTTGGGGCTCTTGACCAGCACGTTCCGTGCAGCCAGGTCCCTGTGCACGAGCCGCACGTCTTCCAAGTAGCTCATCCCCTGCAATGGGAGGCAGTGGTGTGGGGCCTCTGCATGGGGCTCGGACTGGCCCCATGCCCGGGAAATGCACCCACCCTAGCCCTGTGGAGAGAGGGGCTTGCTCCCCAGGGGCCTACAGAGCCCAGGCCCTGCCCCTAAGTGCATACCTTGGCAATTTGCACACACCAGTTCAGTAAGTCCTGTGAGCCCAGGCGCCCGCGGTGTTCACGGACATGGTCCAGGAGGCAGCCGTAGGGCATCAGCTGTGTCACCAGCTGCACCGTGGACGTCAAGCAGATGCCCAGGAGGCGGGACACATAGGGGGAGCCCACCCCTGCCATCACGTATGCTTCCTGGGGGCCAAAAAATCGTCAGAGACCAAAGACCCCAGCCCCAACTGCCTCCCGTGACTGGGGACCCTCACCCTGCCAACCCCAACCATCACAAAACAGCCACGGACCACAGACAGGGGTGTTGAGTTGAGGTTTGGGAGTCCCATCCCCCCCAGACACCAGTGCAGAAAGATCAGAGCCCCACCCTACAGCCAGGGTGTGTGTCCCCATCGCCTGGTGTGAGGGGAGCACGGGCTTACGTCCAGGATCTCTTTGTTGGCTTTAGGGGATGTGTTTTCCCGCAACACTTTGATGGCCACCGGGATTTTCACATTCTCCCCATCGGGGATCCAGATGCCCTGAGCAGAAAAACAGCCATGAGCAGGGGTCGGACCAGCCCCACCCGTCTCCCTGAGAGCCCTTCCCTGTCCCATTGCCTCGCCCTCCCCCTCCCCCACACCCCTGCAGGGACAGCCCCACCCCAGGGACCACCACCCCAGCTCCTGACCTTGTACACTGTGCCGAAAGCTCCTGATCCAAGCACCTTCACCTTCCTCAGCTCCGTCTCCTTCAGGATCCGCATCTGAGCCTGGTTGGGCATCGCTCCGCTGGGTGTTAGTGGCTCCACCAGCTGTGGGGCGGAGGTGCAGCTCAGTGCTGGGGCCGGGGCTGGGTCCCAGCCTCAGGCCGGCAGCGGCGGGGGACAAGGGGCCCTGGGCCGGCTCACCTCCGTTTCCTGCAGCAGCCTCCGCATGGTGTACTTCCGGATCTTCTGCCGCCTTCGCTTGATGAAGATCCCGAGGACTGACCCCATGACCACGACCAGCAGAATGCCCACCACAGCAGCGATGATGGACGTGACAGGGCTGGGGGTGAGAGCCAGGGTCAGGGAGGGGGCCACTCGGGCAAGGGGACACAGGGCCCCGGGGGAGGGACACGACAGTCCCTAGCATTGGGAAGGCTGGCCACAGGCTTTGACCCTCTCTTCCCTACACGAAAACCTGCCGAGGCTCCCCACTGCCTCCACAATGAATCCAAACTCCCAGCTAGCCTTTCCAAGCCCTTTCTGTCCGGTATTCTTGCCCTTGGCCATAGCTCAGGGCTTTACAATTTCAAGGCAGCAGAACCCCCAGGGAGCTTGTTAATATGCACAGTTGCAGAGCCAGGCCCCTCCCTGGGATTCTGATCCTCATGTGGG